GTGGCAGTCGGAGGCCGGGCGGTGGTCTGACGATGGTCGGGCTGAAGTCTGGCGGCAGTCGTCGGCCGGGCGGAGATCCGGCGGTGTCGGCAGTCGCGCAGTGGTTCGACGAAGGTCTGGCTGATGTCCGGCGGCGGTCGTCGGCCGAGCGAAGGTCCGTCGGCGAATGGCGGCCAGGCGGTGGTCTGACTAAGGTCGTGTTGAAGTCCAGCGACAGTCGACTACCGGGCGGTGGTGCGACGAAGGTCGGGCTGAAGTCTGACGGCAGCCAGTCGAAGGTCAGGCGATGGTTGGCGGCTGGTCGGTGGTCCGACGAAGGTCGGGCTGAATTCCGGCGGTGGTCGGCGACCAGGTTTAGGCGGCGGTGCTATAGCTCTTGAAGCTTCAGAGCTTTCTCTAATCTCTTGCCAAAGGTTCCTTTCATATAGAGAGTGGGGTTTATTTATAGATTTTCATTAGTGCTCACTCCATAAATTTAGAGAAGATCCGGAGCAGGTTCGGAGTGTTCTATCGGATGGCTCGTATTGATCACTACAGGAAAACCCGGTATTACCGGCTGACAAAATCCGCTTGTAATACATAAAATATGACGGAAAGATTGGGTTTATGATGCATTTATGACAGAATTTCATACGCTGGTTTGGTGCACGTCGGAAAATGTCTTCCAACGGATATAAGACGCCGGTAATTTTTCCGGCGCACGTTCCGACGCATTACCGGCGAAAAATGGGTTAACAAAATGACATTTATTAGCTGATTATTCCGACGTTAAATATGCCAGAAATTACGACGTACTTATCCGCCGGAAACTCCGATGGATAAAACGCCGTAACTAAAGGTACAGCTTGGATAAAACGCCGTAACTAAAGGTACAGCTTGTTATCGGCGCGTTTTCCGCCGGTAATTCCGGCGGACATAAAATGCCGGAAACGATACTCTCGATCATAGAGAGTTTTTCAACTATTTAAGTGCCTTAACTATGTCGGAATTCAAAGATATTGGGCTCGTTGGATTCGTCTAACCGAGCCGCTCGATTTGACTATAAGCATGCCATATTTGAATATCATTTTATCATCCAAATAATGCTTTGACCCTTCCAAATGTGGTCTGGGCCCCGATTCGGACCCATTTGGGCTTGGGTTGGACCAATTTTGGTGTTGTTTGGTTCCTTTCTTTGAGATATTCAGTTTGACTATAAGTTTGCTAAAATTGGAATTCAGATGATCTCGAATTTAATTTTGAAAGTTTCTAACTTGAATATGCCTCGAAATTCATGCTCGATCAAAGCAATTTTTGAGCCCATATCAACTACTATAATCTCTAAATTAATTTATTTTTTCTTATCTTCTAATGAATATAAGAGAAAATAAATAAATTTGGAGATTATAATAATAACAATAAATTTAGAGATTCTATATATATAGTACTGGTTCATTTTTGTAATGAAACTATAACTATTTAAGTTAAATTTCTTAAAATCTTTAATAAACTTTGTTTCAAAGTGAAGAATTGGAGCAACATAACCTCAAACTTTTTTTAAGTAAAAATTGTTCATCTCCCTTCTCCTTGATATATGTGATATAGATTAATATTATTGAGGTATATATACTAATAGTGCAAATATGAAAGGGGTGATTTTAATTTAACCCAAAATTAAGAATTGTAATAGGATATCTACCAATATATTATCACAAATTTATATATTTATTAATATATCATTTTGATATATCTTTTCCAAAATTCATATTATCATCTCGAATTTTGATACATCTTTAATATCTTAAAGCGCTCAAATTTTCAAATAAAAATCTTTATGAGACAATTTTGGGATTACAAGAACTACATTTTTAGCAAATTATATAGTTTATGTGTGCATATTGATGAGATAAATATATGGAGAGTTCAAGATCAGTGAATTATGAAATCATTAAGACATAAATTTGTTTGAAAAAATAATATGTGAAAAATAGGGGATTTATATGAATCATCAAATGAAGAATTCTAATTTCTATATGAAATAAAAAGAATGTTCATTTCCGTAAATATATTAATTGGCATACTAATCATCATTAATAAGGCTGACACCCACTGTCAATATCACTCATCATCGTCACTAATGCCAACATCCACTATAGCAAAAAAAAAAGGCTGACACTAATCATCATTATCAACATTATCATCTATCAACACTAAAATCAACGCCTCCTATTTAACCAATGTATTTTAATTTTAAAATTTATTTTCGAAATACTAATTATTCACTTCCCCTATTGTCCTATAAACCATAATTTGTGTGTAGTTTTGTTAAATGTTAAATCTTATATATTTGTTTATCACTTCATAGCATTGCATGACTATATGTATTAACAACTACACTAGAATGCTTGTGTACTTAGTTATATTTGAATGTCCGATCTTTTTAATTTCCATGGAATTGTGAGGGTTTGAGAGTAATTTTGAAAAAAAAAAAAAGAAAATCTAAAAGTATTAGTTTTGTTAGCATATGATGATTATTATAAAATTACATCATAAATTTATTATAGTAAGCATATAAATAATTTGAGAAAATATATATTTTTTATTCCTTAATTATATTTATTCTCACCTATTTATTTTTTCGTTTTTTTGGTCTTGTATGCTAAGTTGGCATCATTATTCAATTAATAAGATGATATAAACAGCAATGGTGATCTTACCCTAGCTGGCACCCACGTGTCCTTTTACTCTCACCAAATCATATCTCTCATATTCTATTCCTGCATTTGAAAACTATCACATACCCATCCACATCACCCTGCCCTTCCGTGCACATTCTTGACCCTACATCTACAAACAATCAACACATGCATTTGCTCCCTTAGTTGCATCCATATATATTAATCATTCTTAGTTCTCCCTTCGGGGTTCATTTTCCACCACACTCACTCCCTTTATCGCCTGAAATTATTATGTGCGGTCACCGGATGTTTTTCGGAGGTGAATTAGGATGTGCCATGTCACCTTTTTACTATGAATCATTTTGTATCGAGTGATGTGGCGCATATTGATTCACCTCTGGACAGTCCGGTGACCGCACGTAATAATTTGTCCTTTATCGCACCCTTCCCTAACATTAAAGTCTCTTTTGCTCATATATCTTTCTTATTATGAGTAAAACTACACGCAACGCCCTTATCGTGGCGACAATGTAATTTCTCATGAATGCAACAAATTTTCTCCTTCTTCATAACGTAAATGTGATTCTTGTTACAAAAAGGTAGTTACAGTGTGGTTAGTTCTTTTATCGATTATGAATCCCAACTTCAGTTCTGACATATCCTTAATTATAACTATGTTATTCATTTTATTTTCTTAAATGTGATTCTTTTTGCGTCTTGGAGTATTCGTGGTGGTAGAAAAATATAAAATTTAATGTCTTAGCTTTGTACAAAAATCTAACACGCAATCAGATAAGAGAGAGGGGGGTGTAGCATTTATGAGACACCAAGATTTTTATGCGGAAAACTCCTGAAAAGGGGAAAAAGCTACGGGGCCTAGCCCAGTTTGAATGAATCCACTATTATTTATAGTTGATTACAAATGAGGCCCTTCCTTGGGGGAAGGCCTTAGCTTGATGTACATCTTATAGAGTATATTACATGGTGGGAATACAAAGAGTCACTGTTGATATATTCGTTTGGTCAAAAGGACCGTAGTCAATGGGCGACGTAAGACGGCAGGATCGTAGTCGATGGGCGACGGAGGTCGGAAGGACTATAGTTGGTGGGTGACGTAAGTTAAAGGACCGTAGTCGGCGAGCGACGGAGTTCTGAAGGACTGTAGTCGATGGGTGACTTAAGTCAGAAGGACCTAGTCGGCGGGCGATAGAGGTTGGAAGGACTATTTCAGGTAGAAGTTCAGCATCGAATAGGTGTCCGACAAAAATTTTATGGCAGACAAAATTCCGGTATTAGGTAGAAATCTGGCGAAGAGCGGAGGTCCGGCGTCGGGTAGAAGTCTGAATTCAGTCGGCGACCGGGGAGAACTCCAGAGTTAGATGGTATTCGGATAAACCTCCAGAGTCACTTGGAGATCGGGCAGAATTTTAGCGTCACTCAAAAGTCGAGAGGAATTTTGGTGTCACTTAGAAGCTAGGTGGAATTCCGGCGTCACTTGGAAGTCGGTGATCGAGGAGGAGTTTCTTCCCTCATACTCTTTTCTTCTTCCTCTTCTCTTCTTCTCCTTGCTTTCTTGCTTGGGTCCCCTCTCAAGAAAAATGATGGACTATTTATAGTTTTTTTAGGATGACATGAACCTGGCAAGGGGGGGCACGTGCCCC